TCCGGAAGACTTGTTTGGTAAACCACACTGCTTACACAAACATTTCTGATGCCGAACCAAGGAAATCCGACTTGGCTTTCGGGATGTTGTTCTTTTGTATGCCATGACTCTGTGGTGCTATCTTGAGCCTTTTGGCAACTATGCCCCATAAAGTGAATTTTAATTCCCACCTACATGGACATCTCAATCTCCACATGAAGCACAGGAGGAAGTGTCCTTTAAAAGCAGCGTGGGAGACCCCGGAGCATGACCTGTGCAGCTATACAGAGCTTCCTGCACTGGGCATTGTGGAATCCTCCTTCACTGTGGGCTAAGTGATAAGGACCCAGTTCTTGACCACTTTAATCACACATTTTATGACATGTTTGTTTAAAGTCAATATTGTAATTGGCATGAATTAAGCTCTGCATATATCTTCAGTTAGGAATTTTGTTTTGATTGCGAAAAGGGCACACGTGACTTCCATGGATTTATTTCAACACAAACATAGTGCCGTGATTTTCACTGTAGTGAAGAAAGCCTGTCATACTATGGATTTGGGGAAGACATGTAGCATATCACTCAATACAATGAAGGTGGTCACTATACAGAAGTGTTTTGCGCACACATTATTTTAGACTACTGAAAACTCAAATCCAGTCACTTACAACCACGGTTTTGGCCAAAAGACATAAATTAAATGCAAAAGTAGTTCAAAGTTTCTTACCAGTTAAAATTCTGGTAGCCAGCAGTTTTCGTCCTTATTCTTTCATCAACACTGCTCCAACATTAAATCAGGCTTGCATCTGACTCCCAAACCAGCATGAAAGTGCTTCACAGGGCTCACCCCCCCACCCCACCCCCAAAAAAAAAAAACTCTCACTGGCAGCACATCCATTCAGACTCCCAGCAAGCCTGTAGTAAAGAGTGGAATGGCTCCCTGGGACTGTTGAGGCTGTAAGTCTTTACAAGAAGAGGCGGTCTCATCTTTCTCCCAGAAAGAGGTTGGTGGATCCAAACTGCTGACCTCGAGACTAGCAGCCCAACATATAACCCCCTACCAACAGCCGGAGAGAGAAAAACATGGGTTAGACTATAGACTATAGACTACAATATTAGTCTATGCTAATATTGTCTTGTCTATTAAACTTTTCTGTGATGATGAGTAATCTAGATCTGCATTTTTCAATATGGTAGCTAGTGGCACTTAAATTTAATGATTGAGCCATCATGATTGAGGAAGCTTATTTTTGAATTTTAAATAATTTAAATAGCCACGAGGCAGTAAAGGCTACTGTGGTACACATCAGAAGTCTATAATTAACTGAATTCCTGGAGAAGAAATAAAGCAATCCATTAAATGTGGCAATTTATGACCAGTAGGAGTATAAAAACTACTAGGTCATCTGATGATCTTTTATTTTAAAAACCTTATTAAACTGATGGTGAAAAAGAAGCTCAGATCACAAACAGCTCAAACTATTGCCAGGAAGGGAAAAGAGGAGATGCCTGTTTCTCTTCCTGGTGCTCACTGGTCCACCCTGTTACCAGCTTTCCCAGGAAAAGAACTACTTGCAAAGGGCTGGAACTTTGGCCAGAAGCCCTGAAAGCACAGTGGTTAAGTGCTCAGTTGCTAATCGAAAGGTCAGAGGCTCAAACCCACGCGTGAGCTGCGTGCTCGCTGCAGGAGAAAGATGTGGCAGTCTGCGCCCATCAAAACGACAGCCTTGGAAGCCCTCTGGGGAAGTTGTGCCTTGCCCTGGAGGGTCCCACTATGAGCCAGGATTGGCTTGATGGCCACAGTCTGAATTGCCTGGGTTACAGTGGGCTTGTTCTGGTTTGGGTTGGTACTTGTTTGGGCACCTGCAGAACCAGCAGAAAATGGCAGAACTAAAATGAAAGGTAGGTCTTGCCAAAACTCTATATGGAACCGGGTGGGTTTCTTTTAAATCATCACTATAGATATCCTACCCACAAAGGAATTGTTTCTCATGTTTTCTAAGGGGGTCTATCGAGCTTCTTTTATCACCCAGTAATCATATTTTAGGTGGCACTTTGAGTTAAGTGCTGGGCAGTGGAAAGCCACCAGCCACTCGAAAGGGGCAAGCTGAGGCGGTCAGCTTCAGTTAAGGGTTGACAGCCTCAGAAATCTTAGGAGGCAGTTCTACTCTTTCCTAGCAGATGGACATTGGGCCTCCACTCAAGTACTCCCTCAAGGCAAGAATACTTTGTTCTATTAAACTGGCATTCCATGATGCTCACCTTCCCAACA